TATATATATATATATATATATATATATATATATATATATATATGGGCAATTGAGTAACAACTAATAAATAAGTTGGAAGATATTTTGAAAAGTGAAACTTGGTTTTAACTAAAGAGGTAATTTCTCTCTTGTTGGGAATGAATAGTCCATACATGTACAGATAAATACAGTTTTACAAATCAGTTGGTATTACATGCCTACGAGTCGTTTCAATGTAGCTATTCAGCAGAAGGAGCTATCCATGTTACCTCTGTAGTCACCAGCAACATCAAACCAACCAAAAGGATACTTGGCCACTTAAGTGCTACCTGCTTTGAAAATGAAGGTTGAATAGGAGATCTTTCTGATGGAAAAATGTGTTACAGAATCAGCAGTAAATAGGAAATCTTGTGGTAATGAACTAATTTTTCTTAAGAATTGAAAAGAAATGGTACTGTATACTATCTAGGAAAAAGACACTTTTTAGACCAAGAATTTTTGTGATAGTAAAAATGACTCTTTTTGTGGGGTTGATGCTTATAAGGGTCTCGTTCATGCTAAGAGCTCTACTGCTGATTCGGATTTGACATAGACACATTTCCATGTGCTTTTATGTAGTATTTATTTGGGTATTTTTACATCTGTATCTATCCATCTACTCCTCAGTCTTTTAATTTTTAATAAAAATATATAAAATTCTGCTCCCATAGTCCAACTTTATTTCCTCAAGAGGCTTATAGTGTCCATGGTGGGTAACAGTGGGCTTGAAATGGCTTGTCTGTGTTCTGAGCAATGCTAGTTAGTATATGCGTGAGTGGAAAACCTGGGAAAATAGTTATTTCCGTCAGACTGTTTTAGTGTTGACTTGTGCTGAGTATGGGGAGACATAAAAGACATGGGCTGTTACTACTGTGTGACACTTTAGCTATCTCTTCCACGGCTGCTGCTAGAGAAACAGATATTCTCCTGCAATTTTAGGATCATCACCCATCACCTGGAAACATCAACCTATTATTAAACATCAGATTTCATAATTATTTCTTAAGTACACATTTTCTTCCTATGAATTCTGATTTTTTTCCCTTAAAAAATGGTTTGGATTTTGGAAACTGACTTTAGAAGGTGAGATGACACATCAGTTTGCAACCCACTGAATTGGGAAACTTCTTCAACTCACAGCTGCTAAAAATCCCGATATCTCCATGACCAACACCTCGTTGTGGTTGTACATGCAGAGAGACAAGGGAGGGGAATTTTAACGCATGTAAACACAGTATCTGCTATTAACAGTAAACATTCTGCAAAACTGGCAAGTTGTACTGTAGAGGAAGGGTTACTTGGTTTTCCTTACAGCTTCCTGGTGTTTATATGGATAGGACCGTAGTGGAAAGAGATTATACAGAAGGAGAAACAGAAATAAATCATGGGGGAGGGGAAGAAGACCTTTGAGGGATGAATGAATGAATGAATGAATGAATCATTACTCATGTCTCCCAGCTGGTTTGTTAGCTCCGTGTGGGCTCAGGTCCCATGCTAGCATCTTGGTGCTCCCTACACAGAGAAGGTGCTGAGTACATATATGGCGTACATATATGGTGCTGAGTACATATATGGACTGGTTCACCAGTTCTTTCAGAGAGCCCCTGACACTACTGAGACAGTATCACTACAGACGCCCTGCCCCCTGCCACACGTACATTCCATGGCAAGGCATCTGCACGGATGGAGAGAAAATTATGCAAGTAAAAACAGTATGTCATTGTTGACATTTCTCTAAGGCATATTTATAAATACTTTAAAAGAAACAGTATGAGTGGGTGACTTTCATTAGCTATGATCTTTCATACTGACCTATTTTGGCTGATCTGAATAAGCAGGTTATCATGGAAACATATAACATACAACAGCTAACATGATTCCAGTGGGTACAACGTAAGTGTCAGTACTTGATATATAAATCTATCCCATCATCTTCAATTACAAGCTGCTGTGCGGAGTATTAAACATGCATCTTAGTTTTTATTTGTACAAGACTGTCCAAATTTTCACTTAAATATAACTTTCCAACTATATAAATGCTTTGAAGCAATTGTGTTTCTCAGTCTCATTGTTTTCTTCTATTAGATCTCTCTCTCTTCCTTTTTTACATGGGATACAATAAATACCCTGAAAAGGAGGAATGCACGTACTGCCCAGCGTACAGCCCCGCAGCCTGTTCCGAGGGCATCTGCAGGAACACCCTGTCCCCGGGCCTGAGCAGCAGCACGGCGCTCCCGGACGCCTGGTCCAGAAAACCCTTCTTGTACTCGTCGTACGTGTACATCACGGGCTCGTTGTTCTTGAAGAGAGCGACCCACACATTGCCGCCCTTGCAGTGAACATGGTAGGCAAAGTAGTAGACGCCAGGGACCTCACAGGTGAAGATGCCCGTCTGTGGGTTGTAGTTCTGTCTGCCGTTATAGAGCAGCTTGTCAAACTTCACCGGGGCCCCCACTGGCGGGAAGGGTGCCGTCAGCTCTGCGGTAAATGCGGGCATCTCGTAGGCTGGCCCTCCATTCTTACCTTTCTTAGCCCCGTAGGCGTGAGGGGGCTTCGCGCCATCGATTCCTACCCCCATATCTGGCAGATACTCTCCGTGGGGGGGTGGCGTAGGAGGCATCACAGCTGGGGGACCAGGTGGTCCTGGAGGTCCTGGGGGCCCTGGAAGGCCAGGCTGGCCTTGAGGACCAAGGGCGCCTGGCTTCCCTGGGGGCCCGTGAAGCCCTGCGGCTCCAGGCTTCCCGACACCAGGGAAGCCGGGGGGCCCAGGGAGGCCTGGTTCCCCTTTAGGACCTGGAACTCCAGGTGGCCCAATGGGGCCACTCGGGCCTACAATTCCAGGGATACCTGGGGGCCCCTGGAGACCCTGACCCCCTGGGATGCCTGGTTCTCCCTTGGGCCCAAGAAGCCCTGGAACACCAGGGAGCCCGGGCAATCCTTTGTGGCCAGGTTCTCCCTTAGGCCCTATGGGACCTGGCAAACCTCTCATGCCAGGGGGCCCCACTTCACCAAGGAAACCTGGCTTTCCTGGGAAACCTTGAAGCCCTGGCTCACCCTTGGGACCTGGTGGACCCTGTGGCCCTACAATCCCACCTTCTCCTTTGGGCCCAGGGAAACCAATAGCGCCTGGGGGGCCCATAGGGCCGGGGATTCCAGGCAGGCCTGGCTCTCCTGGAGGACCCCCTATTCCAGGGGCACCTGCTGGCCCTTTCTCCCCTCTGGGTCCAAGAGCCCCTGGAATACCCCCCATGCCCCTGTCACCTTTGGGCCCTGGGAAACCTGGTTTCCCAACCCCTGGAAGGCCTGGGGGTCCTGGAACTCCTGGTAGTCCTTGCTCCCCTTTGCCACCTGGAAACCCTGGCTGGCCAGGGATCCCATCCTGGCCTGGTTTTCCAAGTCCAGGCATCCCAGGAGGTCCTTGAACACCTGGTACTCCAATAGGTCCTTGTGGGCCAGGTTCCCCTGGAGGCCCTGGCTTCCCCAGAGGGCCCTGGGGCCCAGGGAAGCCTGTGACTCCTGGTTTTCCCACTCCTGGAAGTCCAACAGGGCCAGGAGGGCCATGCATTCCTGGAGGGCCCTTCAGACCTGGCAAACCTGGCATCCCAAAACCCTTCTCTCCTTTAGGTCCCTGGAGACCTGGAGGTCCTGGTGGTCCTTTGGGTCCACGTTCACCCTTTGCTCCTGGCTGTCCTGGTAATCCTGGTCCACCTGGCTTCCCAATGCCAGGAAGTCCATGCGGCCCTGGAGGTCCTTGTGGTCCTGGAACCCCCATAGGCCCAATTTCCCCTTTGGGTCCAATTTCACCTTTTGCTCCAGGCATTCCCATGGCTCCTGGCTTCCCTGGCATTCCAGGCATACCTGGCTTTCCAACTCCTGGATAGCCTTGTGGCCCTGGTTTTCCTTTGATTCCAGGTATCCCATGACCTGGCAAACCAGGGGGTCCAGGCGGTCCTCTTGGGCCAGGTTCTCCACGAGGACCTTGCTCTCCTCGTAAACTGGCTAATGGTATTTCTACTGGGAGAGAGAGAGAGAGAGAGAGAGAGAGAGAGAGAGAGAGAGAGAGAGAGAGAGAGAGATACAAGAGAGAGAGATCAAGATTTTGAATATCCATCATTTCAACTAAATAATGAAATCAATATTTAATTCTGACACATTTTCCTTTTACTTACTGAAAGAAAAGAGTATAAATAATATATCCAGCTTCTAGGACTATTCGATATCAGTGCTTAAAGGAAAATCAATTTCCTAATTTCTTTGATGTACTTAGGTATTATTTGAAGAAATAGTGTGTACATCTGCTTATATTAGTACTGGTTAAGTCAAAAAGCTAAAACATAAGAAACATTTTTCCCAATAGAACTTGGAAATACTGTGATATGTTCTTGATTGTGAATTTGCAAAGTTCAAAAATGTGTAAGAAAAATTTTAAGTTGTCTCAGAGATAAATAATTGACATACAAGGGGTAAATAAAAATATATGATGATTGTTTGCATTTTAAAGAATTTATTACGATAGGACACATTTCCATTAACCCCCCTCAGAAGACTCCCCCTTTGCGTTGAATATACTTATTCTATCACTCTTGTGACTTTCTAAAGCAGTTCTGAAAGTCCTCTTTCGTAAGCATCTTTATGAGGTATGATAAAAAATATGGTGAATGCTGTTGTCCAGTGTATCTAAAGGAAAGACAGTTTTGTGAAAACACAGGATGTATTCTCATCTGCCTCATTCACTGGCTGTGGTCTGCAGCTTCTGGGTCTTCTCCAAGTCAAAATAACCATGAAATGTAAATGTTCTGAATTAATTCAGGACACTGAAGCAGCCATGAATGTGTGGCTCGACAGTCATGAAAGAGAACTTCCAGAACTGCTTCAGAAAGTGCCAAAGAAGGGATGTGTCTTCAAAGAAAGGGGGAATATTTGATTTTGAGGGGAATTAATCATAATGTGTCTTTTAGTGTAGTACATTTTAAAAATTGAAATACCATATTTTTGGGTCATACCACATATGTATTTTCATTTCTAGGTGTGTGTGTGTGTGTGTGCATGCGTGTGTGTGTGTGTGTGTGTGTGTGTGTGTATTTTAAACAATGGTAAAGTCATTCTCTGGTTTTATTTTTTCTATTATTTTTTCTATTTAAGTTAAATATTTCATGACCTTTTTGGTTTTTATTTTTAAGATTTATTATAAATATATATATATTTATGGATTATAAGTTATCACTATAATTTATGAATGCAATCTGGAATAGCAAAGTGAAGATAATTAACATGCCTATTACCTTAAATACTTATCTTTGTGGGGACGACATTTGAAATTTGCTTTCAACAGCTTTGAAATATGTAATACACTATTATGAACACTGCTATTAACTGTACTTACCACATGGTGTAATACATCTAAAATAAAATCTCCAAACCAAAAAGCTTATTCCTGCAGTGTGACTGAAGCTTTATGCCCTTTGATTATAATCTCCCCTCGTCCTCTGCTAGCCGCTATTCTGGTCTCATGCTGTGAGTTTGATTGCTTAGACTCCACGTACAAAGCGAGAACATGTGGGATTTGTGTTTATGTACAGGCTGATTTTTTAATGTAATAATTTAGGGCTAAATAACATTTCCTTATGGCCTGAAGTACAATGTGATGTGGTTTGCAACATTCATAGCCTTGCAGACCCCAGAAAGGAGGGAAGTATTTTACTTTGTCTGTAGTTCAATAACGTCTTTCCTCATTGGCCCTCTACAGCCAATGCATTTGCTTAATTTCTCTCACATGCAGTGGAGTTTCCCAAGCCTCAAGTATTAACTCTTTAGTAAATTATTTCTAATGTGCGAGTTTGGCTTTCTGACAGGTGAGGTGAGTAAGGAATTTAAGATGACAAGCAGTACGGAGAGAGAACTTAGCATAGAGGAGGAAGCTCCGTTTATCTTTCTGGCCTTGGGGTGAGATCCTGACTGGGTCACTTAAGCCATCAGCACTGATGCTTGCTTGTCTGTACAGCAAGAATACTAAAGACACACTACCAGGTTAGAAAATACATATAAAACGTGTTACACTGTTTTGAGTTGTCACTGCAATACAAAGCACATGTCATACTATGGTGTGCCTTGCAGATAAACAACTCTGGACCTGCATGCTACCGGTAATAATGGGGTACGTGAAGAAACGACCAATGCGCTCCCAAAGTCTCGTGTTAACCAGCAGTAGCATCCTAATCCCAGCAGCTGCACTCTCTGCCAAGCTCCTATCAGGGAACAAAGCAGAACTGTAGAACTCATATCTTCAAGTAGTACCCACTTAAAGAGGCATAGGAGGCACCAAAAGCCAAGCAGGCCATTTGAGAACGGAAGGAAAAAGTGCTGAGATAATCTAAGGGGCGTACTGGCTCCTAAAGACAGTAACACTGGGACTGTGTCTCTTGGGCTAATAAACGTTGTGGGACGATTAAAGTACGCTACTTATAAGCAGTGAATTGTTACTTACTCTCTCAAGGGGTGTCTGGGAAGGGATCACATCTTATTCCTCAGGAATTCTGATGTCTAACACAAAACCCGAAGCACAGTTCCTTCTGAGAATCTGTTGAATGGGAGTGGAAGCTTCTCAGAGTGCCTGTGGTGCTGTGCTGTTTGCTCAGTGCTACTAGCCTTATTGTCACTGTTCTCTCAACACTCGTATTTTAAACATGATTTAAAACAAGGCCCAGGGAGGTCAAATGAACAGATCGCTCTCAGTTCTGGGATCCAGACATCTAGACCTCTAAATGCCAAGTCCAGTAGTTCCTTGGAGGTGGGACTTCCTAATACTGTGGGGGCTTGAGATGACCTCCACTTCCTCCAAGGTGATTGCTGCTCTGCTGCAGCTGTTTTTCCTACAAACTCTATGGTTTTCAAAACTACAGATAAACCAACTGAATTTATAAGAAAATACGGTCGCAATGATAGGCATTCTATGTGTGTTAAGTAACTAATAATTAGGCCTAAAAAATACGGGGCAAAATTTTCAGGGGTCATCTCTAGATGCAGCCTGATCTTTTTTGTCTCCCTCTGTCCATTATTGATTGACAGGTATGGCTTAATACGAGCAGTATTTAAAAACACTTGCATTTACCTAGTACCTAGTTTACAAAAATAACTTTCCCTTTGAACACAGCAGGTCCTTATATTATTGTTTTCCTAAGTTCAAAAGATTGGTTTGTTATTTCGGTTTTCTTCTTTTTCTCTTTTCACTGCTTTATTCCTCAGCAAATGGCTCAGAGCCTGACACAAAAATAGGTATTCACTAGATAGCTGCTGAATTTTGAATAAATAAATAACACATAAAATAATAAACTACTTGTGATTAAATGTTATGTGTTATTTGATGCTATATAAGACATAAAATTGGAATATCTACATCTTTCTTTTCTGTTCTTTTTCTCTTTCACTCTTTCTGGTGCTGGAGATTGAACCATGTATTTTTCTTTAAGTTTGGAACTTGGTGAGGATAGAGTTTAGAGTCCAGTGGGCGTTTGATGATCACCAATAATAATAATAAATTCTGTAATAAAAGTTTTTAAAATGAGCGTTTCCCTCCATCTCCATAATTCAGGAGGTCGGAAAACGACTGTTTCATAACAACGTGCGCATATGATATTACCTTTGCCCTTCTTGGGTACTGTCTCCTTGCCCATCCTTGGCACTGGTTGAATCTCCTTCATATACTGGGGTAAGTGTGGATACTCCTTGCCATACGGCAAGTGAGGCAGCTCTTTGCCCATGGCCAGGCCATCTTTGCCCAGAGGCACATGAGGTACTTGCTGGCCCAGGGGCTGGTACTGTGGGATTTGCGGTGGCAGCTGCGGAGGAATCTGAGGAGGCAGCGGCTTGATCCCGTAGTAGGCCCCAGCCTGGATGAGCCTGACGAAGCTCAGGGAGATGGCGAGTAGCGCTCCCAGCAGCTGCAGAGGACCGGGTGGTACAGCCATCACCTGTGGAGGAGGGAAGGTGCCAACACGGTGAGAACCTGTAGGCCGACGCGCTGGTGTTACCTTGGAGACAGTGGGAAAGGGGAGGAAATGATGGTCTTTACCCCTGGAGCTTTGTGGGTGGAAGGTAAAGGAAATAAAGATGTACCTTTTCATAGACAGAAGAGAAATAACAAAAATCAAACAACCAAAAGAGCTGTCTGGGCCAAGGATAGAGTTCAGCTGCACAAGCGCCTGCCTGGCAAGCGTAAGGTCCTGAGTTCGATCCCCGGTACCCAAAACAAACAAACAAACAAACAAAAGAGCTGTCTGTCAAATGAAGGTAATCGGTGGGAAAGTAGGCTATGGCAGAGACTGCTAGTTGTCTCCAAGATTCAGTTTCGCCTGTCTTCCATAATATTGGAACTCCTAATTATCAACTGGGGATAGGTCAGCCCAAAGTGGAGACATTGTCATTAGGTGGCCGTGTATCGAAGTCCCGTGAAGTGGGTGTAGTTGTGGGTGTAACTTCCAAGAAGGATCGTGCTGGGGAAGGGCTGTTCTTTCCCTTGATCATCGTGTTGCTGGAGTAGGTGTGTTCTGGGAAGTGGACGCTGGACCACGAAGTGAAAGCTGCATGTTGATAGTAGAGTAGCAGGCAAGGGGAAACCCCTGCCCTTGTGTAATACAGAGGCTCTAGTCTGGGCGGAGCCTTAAATTTGCAGTTTGTTTACTCAGGAGAGAAAGTTTTGTCTTTTTTTTGTTTGTTTCTTTGGTTTTTCTTTTTTAAGACAGGGTCTTGCTATGCAGTTTAGGCTAGGTTTGAGTTCTCTGTGTAGCCCAGGCTGGCCTCAAACTTGTGATAATCCTCCTGTCTCAGCCTCCTGAGTGCTGGGATTACAGGAGTGCCACCACGCCTGGCAGTTTTGTCTTCTTTCATCCACTTTTATTTTGAGTGTTCCACATTTGCACAAAACCTAACCCCAACAGACATTAGAGCCATGAAGCCTTTGTTAGTAAGTATCAAAATTCTGCTCTAAATAGATACAGTCAAATATTTATAGGTTTATGCCAGGGGCAGAGATTTTTCATCTGCCCAGTGTGGTCTGCATGCTTTGGTGTAGTCATAAATAAATACCAGGTTACATGTAAATGTAAAAACAACACCAAAAACTGCAGAAGTCTTTTGAATTGGAGAGAAGGCACTCCATGTGATAGTCCCAAAATGTCCTTTTAAAATCACCGTCATAGTTGTGCACATTTCTTTATTCTGTTTGCACACTATGGAATCATTAGTGTAGAATTTGGCTAATTGGACTATTAGTCCATTAAGTTCTATTTAAACTTTTCAATAAAAGTAGTTTGCAATACAAATTTGTAGTATAAGGTAGAGAGAGAGAAGTTCACAAAGATAAACTGTAATACCAGGCTTTGCAGATTAGCAGTTCAAAGAATAAATGTAAGTGCGGTTTGTCTGTTTATGAAAACTAGCTTGAGTCCTCTGGAAGCAGCAGCGGCAGACTTCGTCTCATCGAAAGCTCTGAAGGGTCCTCTGCGACCACATCTCCGGGAAATGCAGAGCAGGCAAACGCGCGCTAGAGGGCACCCGCGGCACACACCGGGGTCTCTGCCCCTTTCCTCCGCCGCGTCACCCGCGCTGGTCCAGCACTGGGCACCCTCACACCTCACTCAGGGGTTTAAGGACATCGGAGTTATGGGGGCGTACGCACCATGAGCCTGGGTGGTGTGGCCTGAACAGAGGCCGAGAGGGAGAAGAGGCAAGCTCCCCACAACCTTTAGCGTATTTTCTAGGACACTTTGAAAACACTTCTAGTCATCGTTTAATTTCCATTTTCGTGGGAGTTTGTTTCCTTTACTTCTGCTTTCTTTCTGGATGATGGTTTTCCACTTCTTAGAAAATGTGCATTGAATTTGTGACATCCTATCGAAGGTGAATGCCAAGAGCGCGAACAGGCTGCAGAAGGATTGGTTAATAAAAAGCATCTAAGAAAATATTTCATATGAATCCCTACCACAAAATTTGTGGCTTTGCAATTTTTCTAAGCCTACTAAATATTCATTTTTTTTTCTCCTTCAGGGAAGAAATGAAGAAACATTTGTCAGCAAAATGACTTACAAAACTTCATTTCATAAATCAGAACAGTCTCAAGAACTATTCATTTCAAGCATACTCTGAATAATAAATAGCAGCAAAGTGGGAGCAGATAGAAAGCTGTTGCATTATTTTCTGTCTAAGAATGATTATTACAAGCCATTTGGAAAAGGTGACAATTAATATTGACTTATGCTTATTGGTAGTCACATTTATTTTAGGTGGAAAAAGAACATCTGCTCTAAGTACTCAATAGTTTTTTGAATTCTTAACAGAAAAATCCACTAAATCCACCCACGAGTTACACAGATGAGTATGATATCGTCAGTGGGCCTCCCTGCAGGGAGCTCACTTTGCTTCAGTAGGGGTGACAGGTGTGCACACTGCTGCCAATGGTCAGCAAAGACTATTCAGAAGAACCGAAAGGTCTCTCCTACTCCGTTCTTTAAAACCCCTTTGCTTTGAAGCATCAAGTTTTGTTATTATTTCCCATATTTTCCCAAAGTTGCTCTATACAATATAATATGTACCTTTAAAATACAAATTACCCCATACCCATACATATACACTTGATCTCAGCCCAAAGGCTGAGAAGGGATGACATATGTATTTTTTGTTTTATTTTCACTCAGAAATCAGTACCTACACTTATTTATTGTTAAGTTATGTGTATCTAAACAAATCCCTTCAAGTTCCTTGTTAAAATAGGACTTAAATGCTGTTCTTTTAAATCCTGACCTGCTCTAACATCCAGTGTCTCTAAGGTAGTCACTGGAGATCTGAAAGTGTTAATCCGTAGAGAAATATGTGGTAAAACCTGGTAATGCATGAACTAGAGGGCTGGGGGTTTAGCTCAGTGGTGTAGTGCCTGCCTGGCAAGCATGAGGTCCCGAGTTCGATTCCTGGTACCCGCACCTCTCAAAAAAACCTCAAAAACAAAACACATAAACTAAGACAGTGTAATTCCTTTGGGGCTGAAAGAATTCAATTATCGACCCCTAACCCTGTGATGTCTTAAGTAATAACCTGGCGTGCTTGGTCCTTCACCGTTCCTCCAGTGTGGTGGATGTATTGGATTATACTTAATAATCTTTGAATCCGGACAATCTAGTGAAATACTGGAAAACTGGAAAGAGGAAAAATGCCTGGAAGACTGGTTGAATACCAAAGACCCAGGGGGACTCTGCTTTCCTACCGTTATTTCCTCTCGGAGGCTTGGCCACTTTCTCCTCCGAAACCACCTCCTAAGGTCTGCCATCTGCCATTTCTCTGGCTCTTTATCTAAATAAACTTTGTTCAGTTTTAACTCGAATATTTATGTGGGGGCCCTGGTTAGAATTTACTGCTTGACTTACCCCAACTAATTTCCCTCCTGTCCCCGAGGATATTTTTGGTGGTCAAAGTGGTGTGGTAGTTCTCTCAGATCACTCAGAAGAACATCAGATTTGTGTAACATTATACAAACACCTGGCGGGGAACAAGGAGCCTTAGAATTCCTGCCGGGAAGAAATGGTGGTAGTGGATTTTCTCGCCACTCTTCCTTTGCTGGAGGTGCAGAACATACTATTGTGAGTTCTCGATTTCTGTTTCTTTAATAGCTAGTGTGTGTGTGTGTGTGTGTTTACATGGAGATAAACATATCTAATTGTTGACACTGGATCTTTGCTAGCCAGGCTGGCTTTGTACTGGGTGTCACGTCATAGCAAAGCGCAGTACAGAAGTGAGGAGACTTGTGTGGGACTTCTAGCTCTGCTATTCTTCATGCCTATGACCTTGGCAAGTCCCTGTTTTCATGAGCCTCAGTCTCCTCACCTACAAAATAGAAATAGTAATCTCTGTGCCTCACTGAGAGGTATTCCAGGATACAAATGATAGCATGAATTCTTCGTGAGCTGAAAGCACTCTTCAAGTTTGTTATTAATGGAGTACAACCAAAGGACAAATCAAAACCAACTGAAAAGTCAAAGACTTTCAAAAAAGGATACCAGCCAAAGTAAATGTGAGGGTAACTGCAGTAATGATAAACCCAACACGAATGAAACAGTAATGGCTATTAAAATGTACGCATTAAAAATGGCAAAACCCCCCAGCTGAACGAAGACCGTCATTCACTCTGGCATCGGGAATGCCAATCCTAATCATTTTGAATAGCCCTAAATAGTTCCCTCTATTTGGGCAGAGCTGCAGTGAGTTTTAGTTTTCTCATGTGACTTGTAATGTATATAGCAGAATAATGTGATATATATTATTTTAGACGCTCCTAAGCAGTCTATTTGTACATTTATCCTCATGAGATTTTTGGCTTGCTATGCAAAAGAACATTTAAATATTTAAACCTTCAATCCTTGCTCTGAATCCAACTTTCTCTTTCACACAGGGCTAATGCAGTACCTCTATATGAGTGTGTGTGTGTGTGTGTGTGTGTGTGTGTGTGTGTGTGTGAGTGTGTGTGTGTGTGTGTGTGTGTGTGTGTGTATCTGCCGGGCTGTGTTGTGTGGTGAAGACAAACCTCTCTCATCTGATCCTGGGCCAGTTCTTTGTACTTGTGCTTGCCGTTACACGAGTTTTATAATTTTCCAAGCCCCTCAGATTTGCTACTCCTGAAGAAAGGGAAAATCAGGCAGAACCCTCCTCCGGCATTCATCAGAATCGCCTTCCTGGCTTCTCCACGCCTCTCAAAGTTCTGTTTTGATTCCATCACTCACAGCCATTGTTCCATTAGTTGTAGATACACACTGAACATGTATAAGTTGTTAAGAATTTCCTGGCACAGGAGATACAGCGATCAGTTGGGAAGATGAGGTCTTATCTCACTGAACTCACATTCTACTGTGAGAAGACAGGAGGTAAGTTAAAATAAAATTCATAATTTCAGATCTGAGTGCCATGAAGAAAACAAAGCAGATGTCTT